AGTTACTTGGACTGTCTCGTCTCTCAGAGTCAGTATGGTAAAAAGTACTGGGTACAACAGTGCATTTCTAGCTAAAACCACCAGCTGGAAACTAATTTTGAACCGATATACTTGGAAGGTGACATGAGTTAACAGCCTCATTCTTGTGTAGCACTTTACTAGCATTGCAGCACACTCACACTTTCAGGCTATTTGCCCGTTCACCCTTTTGCACGCACACTCACACACCAGTGGAATGGCATTTCGAACAACCAACCCGCTCTGCCTACTGAGCCACAGTCTACTCTGGTTTTTCTATTTTAATAAGGTATTTATTTGATTTAGATCACCATTTTGTTACTGTTTTACACAATTCTTTGGTATGCAAAGTTGTATGAGATGAGACTTTAAACAGCAAAGCAGTGGAGAAATTTGGTTTATTTCATTAACAGAAAAAAGTGTTATAGGGTGTGACACCACTCCATAAAATAATGTATGAAGAAAGTATTACTAAATTCAAACATTGCAGTCATTTTAGCAACAGAATTTAACCCCAGTATCAGGAAAAGTGTGTGTGAACCTTGTTTTATGTGTCATTAAATATGAAATAACCCTCGCAGGCCACCAGCTTCTAAGCTGCTAAATGTACGTATTTATGATGTGCAAGACATGTTTCTTTTTTGATTGGCACAGGGTGATGATGGTTTGCCTCATTATTTACCCTTGGTCTCTTGTCCTCTGTCACACACATACACTCAATTCACCTCTTGCTTCCATGTTTGACTCCCTGCTCGGATGCCTTGTGTACAGAGGCTCAGAGGCTTTGTGAACTATGAGCGAGGCAGAAATGGACACCAATTTTAATGCTTGTGGAGGGAAGATGCACACACACTGGCAGGTTTTCATTTCATGCTGGTATAGCCACTTTGACATCGTGCTAAAGCGCTCTCTGATACTCAGGTAGATTGGAGAGAAAATGAAAAGGGAAGGTTATATCTCCACAGTCTTTACACTGAAGTTTGTGACCATATGCAATGTTAGTCTTTACATCCAAGAAACAGTTTGTATTGACTTGGTCAGAGGTCAGTTCAAGGCCAAAGTGAAATTATCACAGTCAGTATGTTCTCAGCTCTGGTCTCATGCAGCTCTCTTTTTCAGGCTCATACACTTTTCTGTCCTACTCTGTCCTGATCACTGTATGTGTGCATGTGAGAGAAACAGAGACAGAGAACTTACCATTACAGACAGTTAATAGCATATTTTCATGGGTTTTTTTTATAGGCAGGTGTTGGTCTCTACCCAGGCAGCTTCTGTATTATGCTGGCTGTTGACATAACCTCTGTGTGTGTGGGGGGTTGGGGAAGGGGTGTTAGACATTAACCTTGGTTCGTGAAAGAAAGGAGGGCTTTGGTTCTTTCGAGCC